ATATATAATGACAAAACATTATGCGAGGAAGTACATGCATTTTGTTTTAACATGTGGAAACGTTCACCTCGGGGTTTGTAATCCGCTAGTGCCACCGGATTTGATCGACTGGTTGGCTGCCGCAGTCGAGTGCGACCGACGCCGCTTTTCGAACTCGGATCGTAGGCTGGGAATTCCGGAACCGACCGCGGAGGCAGGAACATGCTGCGGAGAGGAGAAGTTGGTCGACCGGGCAATCCCGCTGGCTATTCAACGCGAGCAGACGGAACAACAGAGGGAACAATGCAAACAGTTTCGATAAAAAAGCGGGAAATTTGACGGAGACAGTGCACTGAAACCGCGGCAAAACGAAACGGGAACACACAAAGATGAACTGAACTGGAACGGCGGATTCTTACGGAGCTGATAAGGTGTATTGTTTGATCGTCTGAGTGAAAGCAACGAGAAATAGTTTGTGTCATTATGAGGGAAAGAATAATGGAATTAGACAGGTGCAAAAAAAAAGATTATTGGGCACATTTTTTGAGTGGAACAAAAATGTCAGGAACTGAAAATTGGCGAAGTTCAAACCGGGCGAAAACAACTAACATCTGATCAAAACCGGATGGAGCTAGAAGATACCTGATCGACCTAACTGATCACGATGAGAAAATGTTTACTACAGGGTGAACTGGGCTCATAGAGTAAGGAGTAAAACACTGGATCGGAAATTCCACAGTTCAAATAGTCTAGTCTAACAACGGGACACTTTCGTCCAAACGACTGTGGCAAGTGTAGGCAGGAACAGGAAACGTAGAGACCGGGGGAAGGGAGCTTCGTAGCTCAACGGTGAACTGAATTCTGAACAGCGTTTGGTAATGACAGTCTGTCGTGTATTAACATATCCGTCATGTGAAAAAAAAGAAAGAAAATCGAACGGGGCAGTTGTAACATCTACAACCGATACGCCATGAATGATGACGTAACAGGTGAGAGTAGAGCAACAGCCCAATACCGACATGGTGGCTGCATGAAGCATTTCGGTGATGGATCGCGGACAGGAAGAATGATGATCAAAAGAAAAAGATGGAATAAAAAGAGATCCACTCGCTGAAATGGCTGCAGTACTCAAACGAGTAGTTTGTGTGTGTGTATTTGAATCTCGATAATAAAAGGGAATATATATATATATATATATATCAAACAGTGGAACATTTTTTTTTCAGAAAATATATATCACGGTCAACAATACCACGACAAATACAGCATAGATTGACTGATGTCCAAACAATCGGTGATCGATGACAGCGTCTTAGAAAAATCTGCTTAAAACTAAGATTTGGATGATCAATATGATGGCTTATGAGGTGTTTTTTTTTTATTGAACGGGCAAACATATAACCAATTCGTGGGAAAGGAAACCCATGAGCGAAAAAGAAAACCGCCAAGTTCGAATGGTGGAGCAGCTTGCTAAGCCAATCGGTTACACAGATCAGCCATGCTTTGAACTGTCTACGACCAAGGTCAAAACGGAATCCAAACAAAAACATTTCATTTCAAGTCAAGGCCAACAAACAGGCATTGATCAATCATTCGTTCAATGAGTCAATCACAGTAGAAAATCCATTCCATCAAGTGGGGAAATGTACCGAGCGCTCTTGATCGAGCAACAAACAAGCGGTCAGTTCGGAGTGCGCACGTGTTTTTTGTAGTTGAGAGAAACCGTGCTATCTTGCAGTGATTTCGCATTAGCTCCCATCTCGTAGTCCCACAGCCCGTTGCGGATCTACCAGGCTGAGTAAACGTGAATTCGTTAAGCTACCAGTCTGCCCAATGGGACTGATTGTCGTCAGAGGGTTTGATGTGTGCACCTAAATTAGCAGCATATCGACAAAATTGATCACACTGATGCTGGAACAGACAAATGTGTGCTGTTTATCGTTCGCCTGTGGACGCAGTTGTCTCTCTCGCACATGCTCGCTTTCTCGAGTTGAAATTTAACGACGCATGTGTGCGCATACTTCACACACAGGCCCTCGTGTCTGGAAGTTCAACAATTTGTTTGTTACGAAACGTTTATGGTAGTGTTTAAATTCTTAAGATAAGACATTTTGCACCAATCAATCACGCGATTTTATGTTAGCGGAAAGAAGCCACGGCATGGGAAGCAATAGATTCATGTCATGTCATTTGTCACAACACATCGTTGGATCTAAGATGGTGTATCAGGCTATCAGGACTGTTTTGACCGAGAAGGCAGTGGACCGGAGCTCGTGAATAGCTCCAAAAAACACAAGGCTGATAATTCACATCAGCCGACAAACGTTAAACAGGTAATGGATTCAGCAGCGTACTTCGCCGAAAGTCTATGGCCAGATTATCAAGCTTAGAATCATTAACAGAGTCCGAAGAGTAGCGGTACGGATGACTAAATGTGGTTGAAAAACAAGCATGTAGTCATTTGGTGAACAACAGGGTACCAGCATCGTAGATGGTCACCGCCGACTTCTGGTTGGAGCAGTAACACACACACAGAAAGTGGTGAAAGTAAGGACAAGCGGCAAATCGCAAATCGATGTCAAAGAATCCCCT